GGGTGGAGAGATTACGGGAGTAGAAAAAACATCCTTTCCATTTTCTGATTACTTGAATCTTTATTTCAAGAATTTATAATACTTAGGCTGCATGCAGTGGCTCATGCCTATTATCCCAGCACTTTGGGAGGCCAAAGCGGGAGGATCGCTTGAGCCCAGGAGTTCAAGACCAGCCTGGGCAATATATAGCACTGAAACAAAACAGATAAGTTCTGGCCATTTTAGAGATTACAGACCACTAGCTTAAACCCAGGGACTCTTTCCACTGGGGGTTTAAATTCCTGATCCATCCCTTTTTAGGTGTGTGACCCTGGACAAAGCACTTTACCTAAATATCAATTTCTTTATTTCTAACATGGTGATGTTATCTGCTCTACCTATTTGGTATGGCTGGCGTAAAAACAAAATGAGGATATATGTGAAAGTACTTTGTAAACTATTACATGCTACACAAACATTAGGTATTAGAGTATAACATATTCCTTTTCTCTAAGGCAAAGCTTTCCAACCAGTGTGCCAAGAATGGATTACATATGTGCTGAAATTGTGACCAATGCCCTCACTCCACAGCTTTCAAGGAACCAGGGAGGGCCTGGCTCTAGTCTGCCATACAATTATAATCATTTTTTATTTGTGCTATGACGACTATCTCAAGCTAGCAGAAACTGAAGTTGGCGAACCGACTCCCCCATCTGGATGATTTAGGGCTTACCACTAACTCTGCTGCTTTTATGATCCTGTTCCAAAGGCAGTGTGTCACTGTTCCCCAGGGACAAATGAGGCTGGAGCTTGAACATCAAGGAGCTGCTAGCCCAATGCTAACACAGATACACAAAAATAAAATATAAATTCTTATCTTAGATGAGAACATGGCAAAGACACTGCCATATTTTCACAAAACATTTGAGCAACTGCCTGTTCTGCAACTACCTTCAGAGCCGCAAATCTCTGTCTTTCAGGAGAGGATCTGATTTTTTCCAAACACCCAAAGTTATTCAGATTCTGGTGACTGAGGTGAAACGATGAAGCCAGGCAAGAACTTTTCATTTTCGTATGTCTCAATCTGAACTGGCAGTCATTCTAGAAGTAGATTTCAAAGCAGATTGCCTACTCTGAAGAACAGCATTCACTTAAATAAGTATGCTTGTCAAGGGGAAAAAAATGTACTTAATAAAGACACTTTATATTTTTCAGGTATCAACTAAAGTTATCATTTGCCTATGCCCATCCTAAGACAAAGATTTAGAAAGAATGGGGGAGAATGGAATGAGAGATAGAGGAAGAGAAGAATAGGAATAAAGAAAAGAGAAAAAGAACATATATACTTTTGTCTCATAAAGAATATCTGATAATCTGCAATAGCCATTCGGTGGCTTCCATGACTGCCAAAAGCTAGCAGAGATCAAGGAAAACAAAATTATTTTCAGACCAACAGTCATTTTCATACATCCAGAACTAGTGCTACATATCTGACTTTTAGACTGCCATGGTCCTAAGTCATCAACTTCCGTATTAAGTGGAACAACTCACTTTCCATTCTGTACAAATACTTTGGTTTTTCATCCATAGCCATATTAAAGTTTCCTGTTTAATTTCCTTCTTCCATTCTGTATTCTTTCCTCCATCCCAATTTTATTATTCTAAAATTTATTTCCAGAATCTTATAATGCCCAGTTTATTACTTACAATCTTCATTTTCACATTTTCCACTCCTCATATACACACACACACACCATCTGCTTATTATTTGAATCTTTATTTCAAGAATTGATAATACTTTAATTTCAAGAATGTGTGTGTGTGTTCTAATACACACACACACACACACACACACACACACACAGACTTATATTCATCCCCATAGGAAACCTCTATCAACAGCCTCCTCCAAATTCACTTCTTTTTATCAAACTTCTCAGTATAATATTCAACCAGAAGTTTATCCACTGAAGATTAAGAAAGGAAGCAACCTTTTCTAAACACCTGATAGAAAATCAGGTGAGATATCGCCTACTTATTCCAAAAAGTACATAATAGACACCTGGTGGAAGTTGTCTATAATACTAGTCTGGAGTCAGACTACTACTAGGGATTTGAACTAGGTTCAAATCCGGGCTCTGCCGGTGCAATTCTGAGCAATCTACTTTAGCTTCTGTTAATCATTCAGTTTTATTTCCTTCATCTACAGAAATGGGGATATTAGCCACTTTATAAGGTTATCACATGAGATAATAATGTACTTAGCTTAATACACATGGTAAGCAAACAAATTTAATTGTTACAGCGTTAGATATAACCTATCTTCTGAATTCATTATTACCTTAAAAGGAAACTAATTTCACATAAGCTAGTCTCTCTTTTTTTTTTTTTTTTTAAGATGGAATCACCCTCTGTTGCCCAGGCTGGAGTGAAGTGGTGAGATCTTAGCTCACTGCAGCCTCTGCCTCCCGGGTTCAAGCAATTATCTTGCCTTAGCCTCCCAAGTAGCTGGGACTAAATCAAATTCTAAGGTACATGCCTCAAGCAAAAAAAATAAGAAAATGAAAGCAAAGTACAACTAGAATTTAAATTTTTTACTCTGAACTGTGCCTAGTAGGTTGGTGATATTTAATATGTATTAAAGATAAGCACATCAGTTTGTAAATCCACTGGATCTCCAGAACATTAATCATAAACAACTATCCCTAAAAAGAAACCTCAAACCACAAATCAGGAACTAAAGTAAGCAGCCTCATTTCCTTCTCTAAGTCTATGAAGGAATTTAGAAACACTAATGTTTCAAAGTAGAGATTTCCATATCAAGCTAGAAGAATCCCTGCATTCTACTTTCCTTGGTCCCAAAACAAACAATTTTCATTTTGGGAAACACACACACACACACACCCGTTTTCACTAACTTTAACAAGACACACACAAACATACACACACACGCCCGTTTTCACTAACTTTAACAAGACACACACACACCTGTTTTCACTAACTTCAACAAGAAACACACATCTGTTTTCACTAACATCAACAAGACATACACTCACCTGTTTTCATTAACTTCAACACAACACACACACACACACACACCTGTTTTCATTAACTTCAACAAGACACACACACACCTTTCACTAATATCAAAAAGACACTGCACTAACTTCAACGAGACACTGCCTAAGCGGTGGTTTTAATCAAGAGGCTGTATATTTCCTTTGAGAATTTGATAAAAAGAATGGACATTTTCCCCAGGCAGAAAAAAATTCACTCAAACAAGACTTTGCATATAACTTCAGGGGTGGGAATGAGGAAGACCCCTGAAGTTGCTGACCCTTAGGCCACGAACCCCAACTCATCATCCAGGATTAAGGCAAATCATAATCCAAGGAAAACCAATTTATCAATTTGAATAGCAACTAAAGTAACTGGGGCAGGAATTTAGTCCAGAAAAATACATTTTCTTTTATGTTTTCTCAGATAAACTGTTAGACTTGGTGGTTGGGAGAAGACGTGGGTCACGCTAAGCACGGTAAACAAAACAAAAAAACACCACAGGAAAAACATAAGAAAATAGAATTAAAACAGTAGTAAAATATAGTCGTCTCAACCCGCCGTGAGAGAACAGCAATGAAATGGCCAATTTGGCCGCGCGCAGTGGCCCACGCCTGTAATCCCGCACTTCGGGAAGCCCAGACGGGCAGATCATTTGAGGCCCTGAGTTCGAGACAAGCCTGGTCAACATGGTGAAACCCCGTCTCTACTAAAAATACAAAAATTACCCAGGCGGTAGTGGCGCGCACCTGTAATCCCGGCTAATCGAGAGGCTGAGGCAGGAGAATCGCGTGAGCCTGGGAGGCGGAGGTTGCAGTATGGCGAGACCGTGCCAATGCACTCCAACCTGGGTGACAGAGTGAGACCCTGTCTCAAAAAAGATGAAAGAAAGAAAAGAAATAAAACAGAAAGAAGGGAAAGAAAGAGAAGAGAGAGAGAGAAAGAGAAAGGACGAGGGAGGGAGGGAGGGAGAGAATTCCCGCAGCCTTAACAGATGACTGACTTAAGGTAACCATTTCTGGTGCACACTGCTATGCCAATTAAGTTAAATGGCAAACGTAAACACACGCTTGCAGGTGAAAGTATGAAAGCAAAAGTTAGTGAGAAGTTCTGCATCTCTTCCAGCTTTTTCTTACCAATAAGAACCGAGTTAGACGAATTATATACTTTAGGAGAAAACAGAGTAGGGGCGGGGCACAGAAATCCTAAGAGCGGCTAAAGGATCTGCAGGAAGTGTAAAGCATAAACTTTCTGAAATCAAAGGGCTCAAGAGGAAGATAAGAACAAAACAAAGGAAGTAATAATAAAATGAAGTAAAAGGGAAAAACGTCTAGCGTCTAAAAACTGTCTTTTTAAAAATTCTTTCCTTTTCCTAGACACGTAAACAGTAGCAACTTGGCAAACAGGAACGGAGCGGAAGACAACCGCACAACTCCCTTTCCAAATCTCCAGCATTCCTTGGACGTCCTCAGATGCAGTCAGGCTTGGGACATTTCACAGGCAAGACTCCTTCCTGCACCACTGCCAGATGAACCTCTCAAAGGGACTATCACTATCTCCCTTCCTCCCACTGAGGGAGAGAGGAACTGGGGAATGCAGGGAGAGGAGGAGAGAAATGAAGGTTGGATACCAAGCGTAAAGGTGGCCCACTCTGACACTTTGTCAAGAAATGTCTGAATTCTGGATCCTGCAACCCTTTTTCCCCACCTAGGGTATGCTAAGCCAAGAGAGTGCCGCCCTGCAAGGGGCGGTCCTACGCCTTCACTCGACTGTTTCGGGGGCACAGTCAGAGGGACAGGGACTGAAGGAACAGAAACCAAAGGCAGAATACTTGGGCAGATATGGCACAGACTAAGTAGAGGCGTGCCCTGTGAAAGTCGAGAACGGCGAACCCGGAGGCAACGTGTTGGCCCCGCCAACCACCTCAAACCATCTTTCCCCCGCCGAGCCAGCTCCGCCCTCACCTGTCTTAGGGTAACTCAGTAGCGTCTAAGTCGAGGCTTATCCCTTCCGCCGCTCTCTGGAATCGCCTCAGCCCTGGCAAGAAGTGAGCGGAAACGCGACCCAGACCTTTTCCTTCTTCCCCTTCCCCCACGCACCTCGGCTCCTCGGGGGCGGGGAGCAACTGCAGCTGTCACAAATTCACACTGACCAACCGCCCAGGACAGCCGGACCTGCGACCTCTCAACCCGGCCTCCAGAACCAGCACCAAGAGCAGCGAAGCCGGAAGTGAGGAGACCGGAAGTAGCGTTGTCCCTGGCCCTGGACGGCCTCTCTCTCCCTCAATCTGGCCTTGCCCAGCCACGTCTCGGTGGTGCCAGCGCACCTCCCACGAGGCTCCCTCCGCCCCTCTCCTGGAGGCGGGCCACGCCCTCCCGCTGCTGCCCTAGCAACCACATCCGGGACTCTGGCGGTGTGGTTGCCCGGGTAGTTTTCTGGCAGCGACCTAGTAGTAAAAGGGTGTGCGCGCGGGTCCAGAGGCACTGGCCAGAGCTGGGAGGTTGCGGAAGGGCGCGCCGGCCTGGTCTTGAGAGGTCGGAAGTCTCCGGAAGCCCTCCACATCCCTCTTTTTCATTCACACACTCCAGCCTCACAAGTGAGGCGTCTTCCCATCAGACCGTGAGCCGGTGCTGGGAGGGTGGAGGTGGATGTAGCTCACTGCCACGCTACCGCAGAAGAGCCAAAGCTACTTTCTCAGCCACCGGAGAGCACGAAGAAGGTTATTCCAGTCCCGCGGGGAGGGTGGGGGTGGTGGAGAGGATGAGAGGATAAGGGAGCAGACGGAATGCAGGCACTCCCTCCCGCTGCCCCCTTGCCTGGGGAGCTCCCTCCCTTCAGAAAGGCTAGACCCCCGTTCCCTGAGCTCTTACTTGCTCTGGATTTGAGATCGCTTTTTTGCTTTGTTTGCTGTCTCACAGTAGATTCCCTGACACTTTTCTTTCCTGCTCCTCTTTCTTCTTCCAGATGACCGAGCTCTGCTTTCTTTGCCTGCCCGATTACTTCTTAAATAGATCATTGCCCTGACACAGAAACTGCTGAACAATTCCCTCTCTCAGAGCCTTTCGTAGTTTCCTAAATGGGGTCCCAGCCTGCACTACTCTCCCCATCCCCAGCGCTGAGTGGTGGGAAAGCGTGGCTCCTCCGTGGCGCTAGGCAGACCTGACGTTCATTTACATACAGTACAGTTGGTCTATTCACAGTATATCCCTTAGAACTGCTGGACTGCTTTTCCTTTGACAGGTGCTCAGTTTTACTACCATTTCGCTTGTAGAAATGTGAAGGGTAACTGTGCACATGGTGAGATTTACCCTTCTTTAGACAGTACTTCTCTGCTGCCTTTACTTGTCACAGTAGCTGACAAAGTATTTTTAATGACGAATGCCTAAAGGCAGAGCTCTACCTCTACAGATTTCCAGGGAGTTTCAATGTAGTGAAATAACCCTGGCAGGTGTTTTCCCTAGATCTTTGAATAGTAAATACCTGTGGCACCATAAATGTTTCCAACGTAAATAACGATATTGATTGAGCTCTCCAGAATACCACCTCTTACAAAAACAGTACTGAAATTCCAAAACATAAATCTCTTAAGTGGTTGTCTTTAACAAAAGAAAGGAGCAAATATATATGCCAACCCACTCAAACTGTAACTTCAGTTCTTATAGCTTACTGTGAATTTTTCTGTACAAAGCCATCTTGGTTTGGAGACCATTAGTCTTCTCAATTATAAGAAAAGAATCCCAATCTAAATTCATTACTGCTGTAATTGTGTAGGAACAGAGCGGCTACAGAACTTCCAGCTAAGTACAGGTGTTATTCCTAGGGTTTCAAAAGGGTGACTTGGAAGAAGTGCATGGTACGGCACAGCAGTGCTTAAATGATGTGGACAATGAGTACTGAACTGTTTGAGCTGGCTGTTGTCTTAAGGATTCCTGCTAACTGTCTTTTGAGTTTGGGGATGCTTAGCTTCACTAAAGTTAGTCTAATTGTTAGACTGTTAGAGGTGTTTCTTGTTTTGGAAAGGTGAAGACTTGCTTTAGTTTGTCTTTAGCTGGATAATTTCCTTGACAGCTAAGGTTTTGTTGGAGATTCCGTTGGACTTGGAACTAATGCTAACTTCTGCTTGGTGAAGACACTAACCAAGTTAGATACTCTTCAGTGAGATTCAGGTACTGTGTATGATTAATCCTCATCCACAGTATTATGCTGTGCAAGGCTATATATACATGGGATTAATCTTTCCATGATTTCCACTGCCCCAAAGGAAATTAGAGTGTAGTCTGGCTCCAAGAAAACACTGGAAGCTACTTCAGCTGGTGATGGAAAATAGTGGAATTCTATACATCCTTTGGGACAAAGGAAGCAGCAGCCAGTGTTCTTTGGATTGGGAAATACTTTTGGTACTAATTGAAAAACATTATTTTAAGCCTAGCCCTGGTTAGATAGAGACTTGTTTTCTCTTCCCTCTATCCCTCTCTTCCTTTTCCCCCCCTCACTCTTGTTCTTTCCTCCTTTCCTCTTTTTTCTTTCCTCCCTTCTCCTTCCTCCCTTCCTTCTTTCCTTCTTCCCTCCATCTGTCCCTCCCTCCCTCCCTTCCTTCCTTCCTTCCTTCCTCCTTTCCTCCCTTCCTTCATCTCTCCCTCCCTCCCTTCCTTCCTTTCTCCCTTCCTCCCTCTCTCCCATCTTTCCTTCCTTCCCTCCTTTGCCCTAAAACTTGAGGGACCCTGCCTGCTCACTTTGTTTAGAATAGAAGATTACTACCTTTCTCTAAATTGTCATTTATTTTTGGAGAGAGACAGAAAAAGGGAATAGCTGCCTTCCATATATACTTATGACATGGAGATTATCTACTCCCTTACTTGCACTGCTATTGGCTGTTTGGCTTTTGAAAAATCAAGTGCTGTTTATTCACTGGGCTTGTGGGGAACTCTAGTAGCCCTGAATGGCATTTGTGGCATACTCAATGAAATCTAATTCTTTATCCTGGCATTAAAGGTTTACCAAGATCTGGCCTCAATCTTGCAAATGAGTACTCTCTTTTATATACCTGAAGGAAGAGTGCTAATTTAGCCAACTAATAGAGATAGGTATAGATACTAATAAAGCATAGATATGAAACTTTAGTTGCAAAGGACTGTTTAGTCCTTTCTCTATTCTCTTATGAATAGAGAATAAAGCATAGAAGAGGGAAATTACAGGGCAGTTTGAAGCATACTAAACAGTCCTTTGCAACTTTGGACTTACTTGCTTCTCTTATAGCACCAGGAAATTGACTAACTATGGTTGAGTTATGGAAATATGTTGTCTGCTGCACACCAGGCAAGTTCCAGAATACCAGCAACTCCTGCTACTTAGGATAACAGTACAAGCAGGATTAAGTGGATATAGTTTCTATCTATTTGTAGAAGACAATGAGTGAGTGCTTTCTTAAGTTTAGAAAGTAGTTGATTCTCTGCAGAGGGGCATAAGTTACTGATAAAAGGAGAGTGACTCGTTACCCCTAGACATTCTGAATGGAAAGAATGCCAACTTTATGTTTTCTGATCCTGATTTTTTTTAATAACTTGGTACAAAAGCAGAACATTAAGATGACTGTTGTGGAGGAAAAAAAGTAGAATATTAGAGCTGTAAAAGTGTTTTTAACTATAAAGAGGAAAAAAACTGAACCTATTTATAATTCATTTACCTAGAGGGAGCATTCAACATTTTAGTCAATGCATTTTTCTTTATGTAGATATATATTTCTTCATTTATTGAACAAATTGTTATTGACAACCTATGGTTTGCTGGAAGTGAGCTGTGTAGGAGTAGCCATGAGCTTCTGCTCTGATGTAATTTTTACTGTATGTTGTATTTGTTGACATATAATTTTATATTTTACTTTTTTCACTTAATATATCATGGAACTTTTTCATATCATTAAATATTCTCTTTGTGTGGCATAATTGTATTTCAGTATGTAGATATTTCATAATTTATTGAAATGCATCCTTTTTGTTGTATATTTTCAATTTTGTCTGTAATTATATAGCAATGTAGGGAATAGTCCTATGTAGTAGGCAGAATTCTAAGATAAACTCCAATGACCCTTCCCTTGTATAATTCCCTCTCCTGTGAACATGATGGGATATTACTGCTATGATTATATTACTTTCAAGAGGTTTTTGCAGATGTAATTAAGGTTGCTAATCAGTTGACTCTGAATTAATCAAAAGGGCAATATTTTAGGTAGACCTCACCTAATCAAGTGAGCCCTTTATGAACAGAGAGCTTTCTCCTGCTTTGGCAGTAGAGGAAGTCAGGGAGATTCAAAGTGTGAAAGAGAGTTTACAGAAGGAATGTTCTACATTGCTGAAATGAAGAGGGCCACAGAAAAGGACCTGAGCAAAGCCTCTAGAAGCTGAGAGTAGTCCCTGCCACCAGCCAATGAAAAAAACTGGAGACCGTAGTCCTACAACAGCAAGGAACTGAATCCTGCAAACAATCTGAGTGAGCTTGGAAGGAAATTCTTCCCCAGAGCCTCCAGATAAGAGCCCAGTTTCTGACCGACATCTTGCGTGGACTTAAGATCTACAGAACTGTAAGATAATAAATGGGTGTTGTTTTAAGGCACTGAGTATATGGTAATTTGTTGCATAGCAATAAAAAGCTAATACATTTATAAGAGTTTATTTTTACATCTATAATTATTCTTTTGGCATAAAATCCTTCATATAGGCTGGGTACGGTGGCTCATGCCTATAATCCGAACATTTTGGGAGGCCGAGGCAGGTGGATCATGAGGTCAGGAGATTGAGACCATCCTAGCTAACACAGTAAACCCCCATCTCTGCTAAAAATACAATAAATTAGCCAGGTGTGGTGGCGCACACCCATAGTTCCAGCTACTTGGGAGGCTGAGGCGGGAGAATGCTTGAACCCAGGAGGCAGAGGTTGCAGTTAGCTGAGATCACACCACTGCACTGAAGCCTAGGCAACAGAGTGAGACTCCATCTCAAAAAAAAAAAAAAAATCCTTGATATAGACCTTCTAGATAAAAAGTTATACACAGTGTTAAGGTTGTATATCATATTGCAAATTTGCCCTCCATAAGTGTGTTGTAACAACTGATGTGCCTAACGACCTGTTACCTCAACCTAGCAAACACTAGATACTGCCATTCTGAAAGGCAAAAACAACAAGATATCTTTTTTTAAAAGAAGATTTATGTTTTTCTTATTAATAGTAGAATTGACCATTG